CCCAAAAGAGCCTGTATGCTCAGGCAAATCGAAGCACAATTGATGCCTTCTCTTTATTCTGGGAAGGAAGCAGATCTAAAAGAGGTTGGACATCAAGGTCACCGAAACCACTGTGGAGCAGAACTCTCACCGTCAGTTTGTTAAAGAACTCTACAAGAGCAGTGATTTTATAAAAGGTTATTTAGTTAGCTATCATTGATTGCGTGTGACAATTCTGGATATGAAATTAGAACATTTTGCCTGAACTGCAAAGGTGGAGTCTAAAATACTGAAATGCAATTTGTGTTCCTTTTGAATCCAAGGCCCACACACAACAAAGATGTCCAAACAACCTTGCCATTCCACTACATCCGCTATTGACGTCGTTGTTCTAGGAAGCCACAGAAAGTAGAGGAGCATTTCTTGAGAACATTGAGCTGATTTCATCACCACAGCTGAGAAACCCAACAGTGTGAAAAACAGTGAACTGCTGATAGGTGAAAAAGCACACTGAATGTAATCATACTTGGAGACGACCAAAGCAAAGATAAGCATGAGACATTAGAGAGATATAGACTATTGACCCTATGAAGAATGGGGGTTATGTTGCTGGGGTACTCAGACAAAAAATAAAACAGATCGTGCCAGGAATTAGGAAAGGTCTCATCACTAAATTCATTCTGCAAATCTTCACTGTCTATGAGAGCAGAGATTCAATTTTTGAATGTTCACTGAGAGAGATGTATTAAGAGAATCTGTGCTTTCCTCAGAGCCCAATAATGCTTTCTGAAAAGAGACAAATTGGCAAAAATCTAATTATACAAAGACCATGCAGAAACTGGGACTGTTAATGATCCCATCAGAAATCAACGCAGAAATAATAACACTGAGATGATCTATGTAAAATATATGCCCCTGGAAATCTCAAACTGCATCACATAGAGCAAGTGCAGTGGGCAACATGATTTGCAGTCCTAATTCCCTCAACAATCAAAATTATTTTCTTTGTTTTCTACTTATGAAAGGACAGGGGTATGCCATTTTGTCCTGGTAGGAAGATGGAACACTGCTGAGAAATGTATATGAACATAGATCTGGGACCACACTTGTATTAATATTGTCACCTAGAGTTTGGCAATGACCTCTCATATCCATTGTAGAGATGGGGTCCTTTTCACCCCACAAATATATAGGGAACATTTGTCCTGTGTAAAGATCCCTACAGCCAATCTGTCTTTCCCTCCCCATTTATTAAATGGGTACACAAAAGGAAAAAAAAACCAAAACAATTAAGTACAAAATAAAAGTTTCCTCTTCTAAAACAAGAATAGAAAAGTCTCATTTGCGTGACTATATCACAAGATATTAACTTCTTTACCAGCAAATTCATATTTCATGGCCAAATGACAAAGTTCTTCAACACTAGAAGAAAATCATGAATCAATTTTTAAGATGAAGAAAATAACAATCCACTAGTTGCACACCATCAGACTCCCATTTTGTTACACACAATAATGTATCTTTAATTATGATACCTATAGGATATTACATGTACATTTCATACAGCAATCAAATATACAAAATAATTGAGAGAAGACAACTGAGAGGGGATCTCACTGATGCCTGTAGGTATCTGCAGTGACAGTGTCAAGAGGACAGAGCCAGACTGTTCTAAGCAGTGCCAAGCAATAGGACAAGAGGTAACAGGCAGAAACTAATGCACAGGAGGTTCCACCTGAATATGAGGAAGAACTTCTTTACTGTGCAGAGGTTGTGGAGTCTCCCTCATTAGGGATATTCAAGAATTGTCTGGGTGCAATCCTGAGCAATGTCCTCTGGGATGACCTCCTGCTTGAGCAAGGAGGTTGGACCAGATGACCCACTGTGGTCCTTTCCAACTTTACCCATTCTGTGATTCTTGCATCACATTTTGAAAGGACTGTTTTCTAGCACTCTCCTTGGCTGCCACTGCTTAGACCATAAAAAATAATGAGCAGAGCAAAGAACACCACTTAGCATGTGACAGGACATTGAAAGGAAGAGCAATCCATGAGACTAAACTCTCACTTATATGACAGACGGTTGATTCAGCTGGTATCTCAGCTGAATTATTTCAACTTTTAGCCTTATCTCTTGTACATCCTACAGTGGAAAATAATGTTTTGGTACCTCTTCAATGTTTTGTGTGACCATAAAATAAAACAGATTTGTCTGACAAAAGAAAAACAGATGATGCTTCTCACATACAACTTGTTATCACTTCTTGTTAATGCAGCAGTACATAGGAGGAGCTTAATATAAGTGATTGCTCTCTTCCAAATGAAAAGTAAGGCATACTATGGAAACTGCTGCCATTCACAGTGGTAGCTAGTACCATGGTTCAGTCAAGCCATTCAGTTTCTGTAAATGTGTATCAAGAGACCATCCAGAAGACAAGAATTGGTTTCTCCAGGAGCATATATTGAGTAGCTGTGGATCTCATATTGCAACACTGTAGAAATATTCCAAGTAAGTTTAAAAA